ATGGCGAATTTCTGAGCCGATTGAGCTGGGATAAGGTTTTGGGTGAATGTCACTGTTAAATGTAAACCGATGTTAAATGCCAAAAGTTTAATCTGATCTGAGCTTTTGAGGAACCTTTAGTCCTTTTTTGCCTTTTATTCCCTTGCATTGACAGGCTAACTTACCAAAATCATTCCTTTTTGTAGGTTGTTGAACGTGTACTGCACATATAATTTTATTTATTGACAGAACGTTTTCAACCTCGTGACATGAGTCTTCTTCAGTACAGTACATTTGTCTGTTCTCTAAAAAATCCGTAAACTTCCCAACAATGTGTTAAGGCACACATTTTTGGGAAGTCCTTTGATAACGAAAACGTTCTGTTAATAAAATTATGAAATAAACAGCAAAACAATCGAATTATTATTTAAAAAATATTCCTTTTTAAAATTCGTGGGCATTAACAATTTTTAGCATGTTTTGAGAAAAACGTTAAGGCTGTTGACCTTTTGTAATAACGCATCTGAATAGTTTGCATGTTGAAAACAACAGGGTTGATAACCGACCAAATGAACTCTTTAGTCACCCATTTAATCCATATTTCTGGATATTATTGTTATTACTAATACCAAGTCTCTGTTTTAAACAAATTTTGAAGGGCTTAGAACATGGTAAAACTGCCGGAGTGATAAAGTTGGATGATCTTTTAGCAGATGATCATCCTGTTGGAGGCCTGGTTTGAAAATGATCAATTACGATATAAAATAAAAGACGATAAATAACTAGAAAATAAAATATATATCTACAAAGAACATATAAGGTCACAACGCGACTAATCTCACAGGAAACCATCACGGACCTTAAACAATAAAGATTGTACAAAAACTTGGAAATCACATAAAATACAACAAACTTTCCATTGAAACATAAACTCAAATTCACATAATTTACACAATTCAAAATGCATATTAAAAAGAAAAAAGATCTATGAACACAAAAACCCAGACTTCATCCGACCAACACGTACCCCACCCCTCACGACCTATTAAAAGCGACTTGAGTCTGACCAACGCACCAAGAATATCCAGACCATAATATATACAATCAACTTAGAATGTAACAAACATGATTTTTCTTGTTTTTATTTCTAGATTATTGAAAAAAAAGAGTTAATATAATCAATAAAAAAAATTGTAATATTAGTTATTACCAAATAGAAATAGCTTATTCTGATTACAAAAATCTAACACCTACATAATCTCCCTAATAAGAATTTTTTTTATTGTTTTATTTTATTGATTATTGGTAAAAGATTTTCATAAAATCATTAAAAAGAAAATTATATTGTTCTAGTTATTAACAAATAGACAACTATTTTGGTATGACAACCAAACCTACATACCTATATCAAACAAACTTTAAATCTGATAAATACGAATTTTTTAAATCTTGTTTTAACTTCTGGGTCGAAGGTAAAATAGTTTCAAAACGATCAATAGACAGAACATAATAGTAGTTATAACAAATCCGGCGGATATTAAAAATTCCTTGAAACAATTAAGCTGGAATGAATGGCAAAACAGATGGAACGCCCTGAATGAAAAACTAAAGGTGTTAAAACCGACAGTCAAATCTTGGGTCCCTGAAATTCTCAGAAAGAAAGAAAGAATTGTACTTACACGATTAAGTATAGGCCATACCCGCCTAACACATTGACATCTCATCAGCAAGAGACCGAGGAAATGCCCCATGTGCGGCGCAATTGTAACAATAAGACATATTTTAGAAGAATGCGAACAACTAGCGCCGCACAGAGCACGGTGTGGCCTTCCTAATGACATAACAAAAGTACTTAAACACAACATTGATTATAAACGGAAGTCATTGATTACCTAAAATTAATCAATGCGTATGGCTATATATAACCACCACACGTAGTATATCCCCCCATTTGTATGAATGTATTTATTTGCGTGAATGTCGAAGTATGCATGGGTATGGCTGTGTCGGAATACCAAGTACCCACAGGCCCACCAAATTAGTGTAGATATGTTATATATTTGTAGTATGATGTGAGGGTCAGGTCATTGGCATTTCGTTGGTGCTATACTTCCGAAGTGTAGTGGCTTGTCCAGAATGAATGTATTTATTAGAGTGAGAGGTGATGCGTGAAAGGACTTGGCTGTCGAGGAATATCGAGTACTCCACAGGCCCGTCAAACAATTTCGATTAGGATAGGTTAGTGTGAGTGGAACTTGTAAATACCGTTTGAACGTAATTCTTAGTGTGAAAGACAGGGGGCCGCAAGATCACGATAATCTTCCGACCTCCAATTTAGTTGTAGTATAGGTTAGTAAATTAGTATGAATGTGAATTATGAAAATGTGTAAATATTATATCTATGTATTTTAATTTATCACGTGTGGGAGGGTAACAACAATCAAGATAACGAATCTCCTATTAGGTAAATTAGGTGAATCGAAAGGCAACAGTTGTTTAGTTGAGGGATAAGAAGACTCAGAAGAGAATATACAATAAGATAGATAAGAAGACAAATGCGAGAAGGTATATATGTGGGGCGCCAGCGATGACCCTGGTATTTAGCCGGCAAAAAAAAAAAAAAAAATTCGGATGACAGTCTAAACCATATAATATTAAATATAGTCATTCTATTGGGTTGTCCGGAAAATAATGCAGGATTTTGGTATTAAACAAAAAAAAAGAAACTAGTTACTTTAAAGCAATGTTCTTTAATCAAAATAATTTCCCATACTCTCAATACATTTCTCCCAACGTGTTGGTAACTTATTAATTCCGTCTGAGTAGAATTCAGAATTTTTAGAATTGATAAAGTCAATAAATGCATTTTCCAGTTCCGTTTGATTTTTGAATATTATGTGTTGTAAGTAGTGGTCCAGGTGTCTAAAAAAATGGTAGTCAGTAGGCGAGAGGTCCGGAGAGTAGGGTGGGTGAGGCAAAGTTTCATAGCCAAGCTCCAATAATTTTTGTGACGTTACACGTGACACATGTGGTCGAGCGTTGTCATGCAACAAAATGGGCCCTTTCCGATTGACCAAAGAGGGCTTCATTACTGCCAATTTCTGATGCATGGTATTAATTTGGTTACAGTATGATTCAGCATTGATGGTTTCGCCAGGATTTAAGAAGCTGTAGTGTATTAAACCAAATGAAGCCCACCATACCGTAACCATTACCTTTTTTTGATGAGTTGGGGGCTTTGGAAAATGTATTGGAGCTTCTCCTTTGTCGAGCCACTGTCCAGAACGTCTATTGTTATCGTAGAGAATCCACTTTTCGTCACATGTAACAATTCTGGCCAGAAATGGGTCATTTTTGTTTCGACAAAGAAGTGATGCACAAACATCAAAGCGCTGATTTTTTTGGCGATCGTTTAATGAGTGTGGAACCCAATTTTCGAGTTTTTTCACTTTTCCAATCGCCTTGAGGTGGTCAGCGACGGTCGTTTTACTGACTTTGAGTTGCTCTGCACCCACCACTGATCGCAGAACATCATCATTAAGAGAGGAAGGCCTTCCACGACCTTCTTCATCTTCAAGGCTGAAATCTCCCTCCCGAAATTTTTTAAACCACCTTTGCACAGTGCACTCATTAACACAACCCTCGCCCCAGACTTGGTTAATGTTTCTAGCCGTTTGGGCTCCGCTTCGGCCGAGTTTAAACTCGTAAAAGAAAATCGTACGAAATTCTCGCTTTGACATTATAAGGATGACTGAATTATTTCCAAGTAGCGGAATGCTACAGAGGTAAACAAACAATATCATTTGGAAGAGGATTAATAAGTGTTGACATTCATACAAATGAGTAATCCTGTAAACGTAAACAGAATATTTTATATAGATTTTTTTTAATGAAAACTTAAAATCCTGCATTATTTTCCGGACAACCCAATAGTATGAATTATTATCTTGTTTTAATTTCTTGTTTATTGGTAATAGAATTTCAAAATTATTAATAATAAAATAAAATAATAATTTTATTAAAAATTATAAATAGGAAGCAGCGTTAGGTCGAGTGGTTAGGGCTTACGACTCGCATTTGACATGCTACGGTCCTGGTTTCGGATCCCGGCATGGCCTTTGCAGTTTTATTTAGAATTAATTTGGAAAAGTATTATAAAGTTGCGGACTTTAAGAGCCCTCCGAGGAATTATTTTACTTTAAAAACTATAAATGTTTTAGGATCACATCAAAACCTCATGCCTACATCCAATTAAACCATTATCGACACATGTGTTCATCTTCATTAATCATTTTTTAATCGTTGATCAAAGATTTTCAAAAGGATCAATAAAAAGACGGCAATAGTTATTGCAACTAGAATTAACTATTTTGGGATCACGTCGATCTGCCTACACTATATTCTAACAGCATTTTTTTCTTGATTGTTGATCATTGGGTTTCAAAATAATCATTGAAATATATAACACTTGTCATTGATTTTTTAATTATAATCGGATATATTAACACAAATATAACAACCCATCCCACTCATATGATATCACACAGCATCAAAATCATCACCTTTGTATTTTATTTAATCTTTAAATCCTATCCTCGCGTACAATACGAATACATAAAATAAAACACTTTGTAAAGAATCAAAATTGGTTATTTTTTATGGAAAATAATTAGAAACCAGCAGTCTTTTCTATTCAGTAAAAAATGTGGTAGAAATGACGGTGAGATAAAGCAAATCGTTAATTTGGCTAGCTTTCGATAATTATATCACCATCATCAGGACCCTGTACAAACAATATTTAATAGTTCAAATTGTAGAATAAATTCTGCAAATTGTACAAAGGTGGGGACTTCCAAAGCTCGAGTCGAAAGTCACCAATAATGATTTTATGATTAACAAAGTGTGTACTTAGATATTACAGTCTAGAAATTTTTTTTTCTTGTGTGCGTGTGCTTGAATGTGTGTTCTCTATACATAATTAGTTTACTAAATGCGCATACTTAATACTTCCTTTTTTGCAGGTAAGTGACTATGTGGCAAGCATTAAGGTAATGTGCCGATTTGCTCCAGCTGAGATGAAAGGTACAACATATTGAAGGTATTTCGGACGCTTGTTAAAATAAATGATTTTTTAAGAGGTTTTCTAAAACGGTTTTGGAAAAGGGCGACCTATCGGGTTTTGAAATGTTTTAAGAATTTTGCCAACCGAGTAAGTTGTTTTTTCTTTTTGTACAAACTGCAGTTTCAACAGTCCTCGAGATTAAATTTTCATCAAATCGGCCTTGACGTTCCGTTTCAAACAGTCGGTGGGAACGACCCTCGCCTTTAAGGATCCCACCAATTAAGGTGACATTAAGGGCAGCAACCACTACTGGCGGTTGGTAATCCGATTCGGATGATTTGGTTTCGGTTTCTCCCCGAAATGAGACAGAAACATCTGAGAGAGTTGAAAGTCCATCGTTCCGTTTTTAAAAGCAATCAAATCGCTTTTGTAAATTCGACTCGTTAATAGTCATGAGGATGAAACGACCGATTATGTTGGATGAAAGTTCAACAACCATCGAGCAGTTTTTCGAACTTCTTAAATTTACCAAATTTTTATTTTTTTTTAATGTTCAGATTTTCTTTATAAGCAGAGTGAACACTGATAGAAACCCAGAGATCTGAAAATTGTTACGACTATTCGGCATATTTCATCATGTAGATATTATACAGTTGATTTAACAGGTCATTTGATGGCAAGAAGCGGCGTGAAAGTGTAAATTTTCCGTTGCTCGGTCGATTTCAAACATTTTGATCTGTCTATAGGTTTTTTCCAGAAGCATTACGGTATTTCGCCATCATGGGTGCTGGAATTGCGATGTCTTATGCTTATATCCTAATAAGCACTGACGACCGAAGACGAGCAGCGCAGAATGATCAGAAACCATCCAGTTACAGGTTCATTCATCTCCCTCGAAAAGAAGTTTCACAAAAATCGTAGACACGCTTAGTCTTCCGATTTATGAATCTGGAGTTTGTGAGTGTTGTGAGATTTCTTTTTGAGACCTGTGTGATAATTTACCTGTAGTTTGGTGTTTTTCGATCATTCTGGTCTGCCTATCCATGAACTGTTTGCTGTACTGCCTCACCCTGCTTACAACCCTTCTTTCGCTTTCACAAATTTGCTATCATTGTTTTCACTTTTTCTCCCTTTTGTGAGATTTCTTTTTGAGGGTTGTATCCACTTCCTCATCCTGCATACAAAACTGTCCTCGCTGTTTCTGTCAGCCAGACCATTTTCGATTTATAAATATATTGGGTTGTCCGGAAAATAATGCAGGATTTTAAGTTTTCATTAAAAAAAATCTATATAAAATATTCTGTTTACGTTTACAGGATTACTCATTTGTATGAATGTCAACACTTATTAATCCTCTTCCAAATGATATTGTTTGTTTACCTCTGTAGCATTCCGCTACTTGGAAATAATTCAGTCATCCTTATAATGTCAAAGCGAGAATTTCGTACGATTTTCTTTTACGAGTTTAAACTCGGCCGAAGCGGAGCCCAAACGGCTAGAAACATTAACCAAGTCTGGGGCGAGGGTTGTGTTAATGAGTGCACTGTGCAAAGGTGGTTTAAAAAATTTCGGGAGGGAGATTTCAGCCTTGAAGATGAAGAAGGTCGTGGAAGGCCTTCCTCTCTTAATGATGATGTTCTGCGATCAGTGGTGGGTGCAGAGCAACTCAAAGTCAGTAAAACGACCGTCGCTGACCACCTCAAGGCGATTGGAAAAGTGAAAAAACTCGAAAATTGGGTTCCACACTCATTAAACGATCGCCAAAAAAATCAGCGCTTTGATGTTTGTGCATCACTTCTTTGTCGAAACAAAAATGACCCATTTCTGGCCAGAATTGTTACATGTGACGAAAAGTGGATTCTCTACGATAACAATAGACGTTCTGGACAGTGGCTCGACAAAGGAGAAGCTCCAATACATTTTCCAAAGCCCCCAACTCATCAAAAAAAGGTAATGGTTACGGTATGGTGGGCTTCATTTGGTTTAATACACTACAGCTTCTTAAATCCTGGCGAAACCATCAATGCTGAATCATACTGTAACCAAATTAATACCATGCATCAGAAATTGGCAGTAATGAAGCCCTCTTTGGTCAATCGGAAAGGGCCCATTTTGTTGCATGACAACGCTCGACCACATGTGTCACGTGTAACGTCACAAAAATTATTGGAGCTTGGCTATGAAACTTTGCCTCACCCACCCTACTCTCCGGACCTCTCGCCTACTGACTACCATTTTTTTAGACACCTGGACCACTACTTACAACACATAATATTCAAAAATCAAACGGAACTGGAAAATGCATTTATTGACTTTATCAATTCTAAAAATTCTGAATTCTACTCAGACGGAATTAATAAGTTACCAACACGTTGGGAGAAATGTATTGAGAGTATGGGAAATTATTTTGATTAAAGAACATTGCTTTAAAGTAACTAGTTTCTTTTTTTTTGTTTAATACCAAAATCCTGCATTATTTTCCGGACAACCCAATAGTAAACGATATGCTTACGCAGATTTGCTATCATAATTTTCATTTTTTTCCCTTGCATTGTGTGACATATTTTTTGATTTTTTCTGGTTATTTGGTATGTCCAACCTCTCACTGTTTGTGTCAGTGCCTCACCTGCTTTCGCTGATTTGTCAACCAGATCAATTTCGGATTTATAAGCACAGTAGACGATTTGCTTTCGTAAATTTACTATCGGTATTTTTATTTTTCCTTGTGCTTTGATATTTTTTTTTGAGGTTTGTGGATTTATGATTTATCGTAGTTTGGTCGTTTCCGATCATTCTGGTTCCCTAACCCCTCAGGGGTTGTGTTAGCGTCTCACCCCTCTTACAACCCTGTCCTGGCTGCTTTGGTTAGCCAGACGAATTTCGAATTTATAAGTATATTAAACAATATACATTTCCTAATTTGCACAATATACCTTAGTTAATTTTCTGTCATATTTTTCATTTTTTCTCCATTGTGGTGTGAGATTTATTTTTGAGCTATGGGTTGGATTAACCTGCTATTTGGCCGTTTCCAATCATTCTGGCCTGTGTCCCCTGACAGGACTGAGGTCGAGCAGCGCAAAATTATTATCAACCATCAAGCTACAGGTCCATCTCCATTTTGAAGAAATTGGACAAAATATTATTGACACTTTACGCTTTAGACATATATAATTGGTTGGATATCGGATTCCATTCTTCTTAAGGTCTACTTATTGATGAATCGGAGTTTTGTCTTATCTGATCATTCTGCCCTTGTTGCTTCTCGGCTTTTCTTCAGTGGAGATTCAGGGTGATAAACATGGCGAGGCGTACAAATCGCAGGATGATTGGAAACGACATAACTAGTCTCATTTTTTCCAAGACTTTAGGTTTCTTAGCAGTTTACGAGATCTCCTTATAAGAATTCAATATTAGTCCAAAATAGATCAATTGTACTTTTTTGATCTAGAAACCGTTTACAGGGGTCACCCGTGAATAACGTTCGTCTGGCTCAAAACAGAAAGACCGCAGGTTGTTTAACTTTTGGAAAAACGGACCCCTCGAAGAAAGGCCGAAGCCGTTATAAACTCCTGAGAATTGATTTACATTCGCAAAGTGTAATAACCGCAGTCCACCTCCTTGGGCCCGTGGGCACCGAGCGTGGACGACCTGATCCACATCTCCACGTTGCAAAACGCTATGAGTCGAAGATTTTCTTTTATTTGCTTGTGTTTCGTGAGAAGAATATAAGCTGGTTTCAGTCCAGGTGGAAATTGTGCCCGCTGTGGAAATACATTTACATTTGCCGTGTCTGAATCGATGAAAACGTGGTTGGTGCGCGGGCGATAACCTCTATAGCAAACAGGCAAACGATACAATACAAATGGTTTAAAAATAAAACTACATGTGAAAAATATAACAAAGTGAAACAGTTTTTTCGTTCTTAAATTAGTTAACTTTTAATATTAAACAATATTTTCCTGAATGAATTCCTCAACCATCATGTTATACAGTGTCCTGATTAAAATATTCAAATCTAAATTCACCCAATTAGCATTTTTTTAAAAATAAAACACCGAAAGCTTGACATAAATTTCAATACCGTAGCTGTCATTGACTACATACATCCCTGATTTCACAAAATACTGTGACAGACAAAAAATTCCACCAACTTGTAATATAATTTAATTTTTATATATTAATCAAAGTTTAGTAATTGAGTCTTTGTCTAAAAATGTAAAAAAAATGTAAATTGCTAAGGAAAGTGAAAAAAAGACGGACAGATAAAATTTGTTTTCATTTTGTTTTAGATTTTTAATTAATATTTCAATATCGCGTATTTTCCCCTCTTACCTTAGTTACATCTCGAAGCCGCCTCGGCGTATTTTCTACAACTCTGGAATTATCTCTTTCCTGGAGGTTAGCCCATTTTTCACGAAAGTCCATTCATGATCGTGGAGGGTATCAGGAAGTAATGGACGTGCTGTTATTCGTCTTTTGAGGTTATCCCATAAATGTTCGATGGGGTTCGAGTCTGGAAAACGGGCTGGCCAGGCTAAGACCCTGATGTTAGGGTGTTGAAGGTACGTTTGTACTATGCGAGCGACATGTGGTCGGGCATTGTCGCGCATTAGAATAGGATCACTGATTTCAACGAGGATAGGCAACGCGTGATGTTCCAAAATTTCAGCCACATAGCGAGTGGCCGTCAAACCCCCACGAACAACTTACCAACTCTGTGCGACGGGACCGCGGTAGCCGAGTGGTTAGCATGAGAGACTCTCACGCCGCGGTCGTGGGTTCGATTCCCACCGTCGCCTCTGGCCCTTTTTTCCCGATAACCCCTAATTTGAACACACAATAATTCGTACTATGGCTAATATGCAAGATCATAAGGACAATAATTAAAAAAAAACAAAAAAAACTGCGACTCTCCATTGAAATTCTCGCCCACACCATCACTGAGCTACGTTGAAAAGGTTGGCTCTGGGAAAAATTACAGGCTGCGTACCTTTCATTTCGCCTTCACACTCTTTCACGCCCATCTGGAGATC